TTAATTGTGCTGTGCCCTTTCAATAACTGTATCACTTATGCTAATGAGGCAACTACTGTAAACAAAGATTCTTCTATTGTTGCTGTATTTTCGTTTCAGTCATTGTGAGAATTTGAAGTTCATGATCTTCTTTCTTTTTGTACCTGTATCCTTTGGTTTGTAATGTACAGTGTCTTGGTATTTTAAGGAGAGGTTATATGTTGATAAGATTCAACTGAATGAAATGGGAACTTCCTTGTGTTCTGCTCCCATGTGAGAAGAGTTTCCATTTTGTTTGATACATCTTGTTTGTGACAAAATGAATAGCAAAGGCAAAATGTGTTGATGAAAAACGAATTTCCAAATATATTGGCAAAAATGCACCAACATGCTGACTTCTGTTTGTCAACGATTTTAAAATGGGTTTGATGGTTCACGTATCTCTGAGCAGTGTGGTACTGTAGGCGCTGTAGATGTCTATTATTTGACGTTTTTGAACTGCCTGTTGTTACTAAGAATTATAAAATATTTTGTTTTTATTGTCAGGTGGCTCCAAACACTTCAGTTAGCAAGGCTCCAGTTTCTACAACTGCTGGACTGACATCTCAAACTGCAACAAAAGCCAAAGTTTCCAACACAGCGACTCAGCCAGTATCATCAGCATCCAAAACTGTAGTCATGACAACACTTGTGGGTGGAACTAAGAGAGTAGTTCTCTCTGTGCCAGCACCCTTACAGGCTGGTCCAAATATTTCTACCCCAACTACATGTTCCTCCCCCCAAGGGATGGTGATCACCAAAACGCAAGGTAAGTGTTTCTATGGAAATAAGTTCCGTTGCTCTATAACTTCTGGTCCTGCATATAATAATATATACTGGGGTTCTATAACATAAACTATGACCTAACAACAAAAACTATTAAACATTTCAGAGTCTCAAGAAAACAGGTAGGTTTTGCATCCTCATTCTGTAGCATTCAACATTCACTATGAATCAATCAAACCTTTATTTAACACGGTCAGTACACTTAGCTAGGAACTAGTTTCCAAGTACGCTTCAAAATAATGAGATAAAAATAGAAGAATAAAAACTTCATTAGTAAGGTAAAGTCTGCAAAGTGACCGCAATACAATGGTGCGATATACTGTACTTGTTGCTGTTACTTACAGTTAAAATTATATTTATACTTGAACGAAAGGAAGGAAATATTTGAGTCAACAATAAGTTTGGCAGATCAAAAACTTGGATAAAAAAGGTTCTCACATGGCTTCTGTCTAGTTTGTTACAAAGTCCATTTATGGGGGTTTAGGGATTATTTTCTGTAAGACTGAAGGTAGATAGAAAGCTTGGAAAACCTTTTATCTTAGGGGTTGTTTCACGCGTCTTACAGGTCCAAATGTAATATCTAGCAAGGTTACCCCTGCATTGAGTTTGCTGGTACCCATTTATACACCTGGGTGGAGAGAGGCACTGTTTAAGTGAAGTGTCTTATGTTATGTTATTGAGTTTGCTGGTACCCATTTATACACCTGGGTGGAGAGAGGCACTGTTAAATGCCTCAGGCCAGGGCTCGAAACCCGACTGCTTGATCTGTAGACAAGGACACTAACCATGAAGCCACCGTGCCTCCTACAAAAACTTTATGGTTACAATATTTAGTCTAACCTAACTAAGTCAAAAAAAAAAAAACAAAAAAAATGTATAAAAGTAGTAGAAATTGTCTGAAAAAATTCATTACAGATATTCTTGTTTTTCAGGAATTCCATTGACTTCACCCACTGTCTCTCAATCTCAGCTCACTTCCAAAAAGGACACTAAGCCATCTTCAGCCTTAGCCACTGTCTGTCCCAAACCAACTCCTACACAGATGACACCCAGTCTGTCAGCTCCAACCGTCACCACACAGGTCAGATCAAGACCTCTCCCTGCCATTCTTCCTGCTCCTCCCAAACCATCAAGTGTACCACCAACTGCTGTCTCCAATACCACGAGCGTCAGGAAGCTTCCCACTATCTTACCTGCACCAGCAAAAAGTGTCGCAACAGTTCTTCCAACTGTTTTGGTTCCCGTGGCAACTGGTGTAGTTTCGCACGCTGCAGGACAGCTACAGTCCTCAGTACCACTGCAGTCGTCAGTAGCGCTGGCTGTGAATACTGCTGTTTCGAGCTTACCACCATTGACTACTGATGTTGTGGCGCAACAGTTTCCTCCTGTAGCTTCAGAAAGTCAAAGTGCAAGTCAGCATTCTACTAATCGGGATCATGTAGTTGCCGAGACTCATGGCGCAGATCTAACTGACGCTCATTCGTTAGCAGAACATTCCGAATTACCTGCAGCGTCAAGCTCTAGACAGCCAACACTTAATGAACAAAGCTGTGTGACTGAATGCGATAATAACACATCATCTGAAGATGATTCTCTTCTCATGTGCTCTGAAACAATAGACAGTGCAGGTTGTAATATCATCGAAGCGCCATCGGCGATGGATTTTTTCAAAGGCATGGCCGAGAGTACACCAGTTAAGGATCCAGTAGAGCATAGCACAGATGAAACTCCGCAAACATTGCTAGATTCCGTAGAAGCAGCTTTAGATCCTGTATCATTACAAGATGTCGAAGTATCTGTCTCAGATTTAGATTCTTTAGAAAAGCAGAAAGATGCAACAAGTGAAACAGAAACATCTGAAAAGCATCTTTTATCGGTTAAGGAATCTATCGAAAATGTAACCGTTGAGAGATTGGATGTTTCAAGTGAAATTTCTGATATGGTCAGGAATGATTCGCCTGAGCATATTTATTCGGAGTCATTACACATGGATGAAAGAGATAAAACTTATAAAGTCGATATGGATTCAGATCTTCAGTCTTCACTGCAAGGAGTTCCTCAAGATGATCCAAATGTGGTTATTGCTAGCAGTGATGATGGGTTACCTGTGGAAAATGCCCTGCAAATAATTGAGAGCTTTGTGGAGAGCATGGAAGGGAGTACAGCAGGGACGTCTGAAGAAACAACACTTGCTGCGAATGATAATGAGCCATTTGAGTTGCCATCGGTATTGTTAGGACCAATTCAGTCCTCTAGCCAGGAGAGATCTGACCTGCCTGAGGTACTGACTTCAGAGATGAAAGGCAAGGTAATGACTGATCATGTTGCTGGTGCGACAGACACTGATAAACTGACTGTCATTGAAGGTCAACAATCTTCAGGTATTCTATCAAGATTTGAAGATGAGAGCTGGGACATCTGTGACACACCCATCGATGTCTTGTCCACATCCACAAGCAGTTCCAACAGTGCAACAGAATGCACAGAACTGACGGAAAAAGAGATCAGAGCGCTTGAAGCCTTCGGTAATGTGAGGACAAGTGGAAGGAAAAGAAAGCCTCCTTCGTCACTTGATGTGTCACCACCACGACAAGTCAGTGGCTGGGTCCGAGGTGCTCTCAGGTGCGTCATTATCTTTAAGGTGGCTCTGGTATTAGTGAGATGTCAGCTGATGGCGTCGTGGTTGGTGCGCTGGACTCCGGTTTGAGTGGTCTGGGTTTGAGCCCAGGCCATGGGTGTTGTGTTCTTGAACAAGACACTCTCAATGGTTCTCGCAACGTAGTTGTTTATAAAAGGGTAACGGCAAACTATTACAGCAACCTGACAAACTGTTCGAGGTGAGGTGGGGAAGGTAATTTCTGTTAGACTGACATTTCATCCAGGGAAGGAGAAAAACTGTTTTCTGCCTCATGTTACAGCGAGGCTTTCATTAAGGGCCGGCATATCGACCGCTGTGAAGATCATTTTCCCTTCTGGTTTGACCATCCAGCGGAAAGTTTTTCTTATAAAGAAGTTCGGTTCAAAAAGTCTTGCCCGCCTGTGGAAACCAGTTGTCCTCCCGCTTAAATCATTGATGAAACTCCTGGTAACTGGAAGAACCAACATGCTAGGCAAAGAAAGTTGCTGCAGTAACTTAACTATTCAAACTTTTGACTCTTTTATATGTCATCAAAACTGTCACGCTTCCTCTGAGTTTTTTGTCACATTCCTATCGACCTTCAAGTGTTCTGATCATTACATAATAAACATCCAAATGCAATTTTTCTTCGATATGATAACTATTCGTGAATTACTGTTTATTTTGAATTTTGTTAGCCTGCTGCAGAAAGTTGCCAGTTATCGCGGTCAAGGAAGACGAAAAGGTGATTTTGGTGCTGCTACTTGGTTCCTTAAACCAGGTAATAGAATATTGAGAGCATCGACTTTTGTCTGAAAACTATATATATTATTATTGTAATTGTTAAGTTTTAATGACGGTAGGTAGGAAGTATTCGGGAAAGCACTGTCATTTTCTACTGCAAGCAATCAATAAATCAGAGTCATTTATTGCCTGGTAAATAGCCATGTTATTTCTGTTCTTGTTTATCAGTGGACCCTGTTGATGCTCCGGGATACTTCAAAGTTATAAAAACTCCAATGGATTTTGGTACAATAAGAGTGAAGCTGGAGGTTAGTTGTCTTGTCCTAAGTGTATTAGCTTTAATTACATTAGAATTGAATGCCAGAAAATACGATGTTTACTAAAGGATTTCATTCACAATCTCATGGATGACAGATTTAATTGGCCATTACCGCCATGATACTCTTGTATGTGCGGTTGGGAATCTTGCTGCGATAGAAGGCTAGGCTACTAACATCTAGAATTCACGAACGGGACTTTGCGCGCGATACTCAACGAGTTTGCTGTAAAATTCTGAAAGGTCTCTGAAGAGTCTCTTGCCCGAGACGAAACGCTGCGTCAGACTTGCCACGATCTATTTTTTCAACAAATTCAATTCAGTTTTAATTAATTTCGCATGTGAAATTACAAAATTGTTACGGCAATATCTGGCGCGAAATTTCTCATTACAAAAACAAGCTAAAAACTCACGATTGTGAGCGTAATTTGTCAACTATGATATTACAGCTAATCAAATGGTATACTCTTGAAATTAAGAAATAATTTCACTTGCGTTTTGTCAAAATTTTATTCCTGCAAAATTTGTCATAATTTCCCTCACCTGAAAGATCGGGAAATTAGAGTAGTTTTCAATTGAGTGTTGTAAAACCCAAACCAAAATGAAAACCAAGGTAATTGCATGATTACTTTAGACACTCAATTGAAAACCGCTCTATAAGAATTTTGATAAAATACGCATGAAATTATTTCCTAATTTCACTCGTCACCTTTTGATTACCTGTACTAATAACTACATTTAAAAGTGAAGCCTTGGAGCCGACTGGCTCGTAGCTGCCAGAACTTACCCCGGTTTCTGTAGCATGAAGCGGCTAGGAGTATTTCTACTCCCCCTGGACGGGACGCTAGTTCATCGCAGGTCACTCCCCCGCAATTTGTTAGGTTTCCCCAACAATTCGCCGGTACCCATTTATACTCCTGGGTGGAGAGAGGCACTGTGAGAGTAAAGTGTCTTGCCCAGGAAAACAAAAGAGTGTCCCCGGCCAGGGCTCGAAGCCGGACCGCTCGATCTGGAGACGAGCGCACTAACCATGAGGCCACCGCGCCTCTACAATAACTACATTCAAACATGATTTTAATTAGACTTTCATTTAACATGGTTGAATTTCAATGTCACCTTTGCTTTAGACTGGGAAATATCAAGAATACACGGAATTTCATTCCGACATGTTACTGGTAAAGTCAAACTGTTTGAAGTACAATCCTCCCGGACACGATATTCGACAGGTTAGTATATGCCGTACTGTGGAATAGGCATTATAATGAATTAGCTTTCATTGGAATGGAACTTTTTCTATATATTTAAGTTGATTTACTGGAAATTATGTATTTATGAGACAAGTATAAGGTAAAGTCAGCATACGAGCCAAGTGGCCCATCAGGCCGGAGCTTATCCCGGTTTCTGTAGCATGAAGCGACTAGGAGTATTTCTACTCCCCCCTGNCCCGGCCAGGGCTCGAACCCAGACTGCTCAATCCGGAGACGAGCGTACTAACCATGAGGCCACTGCGCCTCCCATGAGACATGTATGGTAATAAATTAATAAAAATATTAAGAATATTTTAATGATGATGGCGATATTGATGACGATGACGATGTTTATGATAGCTCATTATTTATGGAATTCAAAGTAAGTTTAAAGTTTATGAGTGACAGATATATCAGGTGCCGATTGTTGTCCTCTGATGACATTTTACAACACATTTCATTACAGGATTGCGAGGAAGTCTTCAGATACTATGAAACAGAGTATGCGAAAATGTTGGAGAGATGGGAAAAGGTATACTGTAATAAACAAATTCAAAAAATTCCCCTATGTAAATAAGCACGCTGATTGGTTTAAAATCGTGTTTCTATAACTCGAGCTAATGAAGGCGCGATGCAAAGAGAATTTGCATTTCGCAGTATTTTCTAAAACAAATAGAAAACATGTTCTCCTTACATGGTAAACTCCTAAGTGCCTACGCCTAAATTTCAATATTTTTTTTTCAGTGTCACGTGTCCCCTGCTAAAAAGCCGAGGGTGGTGTCAAAGACAGAGTCCTCTGCGCAACAATGAAACAATTCTATTGTTTTACTGGATTATTTAAGGTCTCCGTGAAGCTGTAAAAGAGTTTTAACCAATTTAGGTGACCGCAATAAGTGACAAAAGTGTTGAGACACTTCTCTATTAACTTTCTTTATTTGAGCGTCTTGGAAACATTTTTCACCCCTTCCTTCCAAGCAAAGTTGATTTTTCTACCTCTAATACTGCGTAAATTACAGCGCCTGCACGACACGTGCCGGGGGTCTCAGAGGATTATCGCTATATGTGTTTTTAATAAAATAATTAGTAAAACATCGTAAAGTGTCAGTTTCTAATAAAAGTGTCTTAGCTACTTTTGTTGCCCATTGAAGGTTTTGTACATAATGTAATAATATTCATCAAACCTCGTTGTATAAAAAACGTTTATGACTTTGCTGGTTTTAAGCCGGCTGTATAAATTTCTTCCAAGGTGGTTTGAATGTGACCATATTTCTCTTCTGCTTCGCCTTGCTGTAACTGCCATACTGGCAATCTACAGGTATAAACTGCATCAAGCACCTTTTGCTAAGCACGTCTGGCTCACGCTTTTGTATACATTACTTGCAGAACATTTTCGGACAATTTTAATTTCGGACACAAAAATTGTCCTAAGATAAAACCGTCAGAAATTTTAAGCCTCCGAAATATTTACAGTCAAGAGGCTGTATTTCACAGAACAGTATAAAATTTTTAAGTAGCTAAAAACCTCTTAGTTTACTTTATGGAGCAAACTGTACTAGAGACACTTCTCGAGATACATAATGGCTTGATAGACTTTGTGTTATTTTTTCGTCGGTCAATCTGTAAAACCATTAGGGTGCAGTAAAACTATCATTTTCACAGATGTTGTTTCAGTCTAATTCGTGTTTTGTTGGTGCAAATTTACTTTAAAACTTTCAACAAAGTGTCCGAAATTTGTCCGAAACGAGATAAAAAGTGCCCGAAAATTTAACGTCCGAAATTTGTCGGCAAAAGGAGTTGACAAATGGTGGTTTTATTCGCAAGGTATCCAAAGAGGTTGCAGTTTTGTGAACAGTTACTGGAAATATAACGGAACATTTAATAATAGGAGGCTTTTTGGGAAGATTTTCTGTACCGCGTAGTTATTTGCTAACACTAATAAACGTACATTTATCCGTAAACTGCCACTTATAAGCCCTGGGGCCTGTTCCTCGAAAGCCCTGGAAACTTTTCGGGCCCGTAAAGCCATTTTTAGTTCATCTGTATCTAAAAACGGAGGAGTGTATACGCCTGAAACTTCTTGTATGAAGGGAACCTCTGTTCATATTAAGAATACGTGAATAAAACAGCGCTGTAATCGTAAGGTTCGAGATTTTGCTATGGCTTTCCGGGTGCGAAAAGTTTCCGGGGCTTTCGAGAAACGGGCCCCTGGGCTTATACAACTTCGTAAGGGCTTTTAGATGGGTTTATAAACGGAGGGGCGTATATCCAGGGGGGGGGGGGGGGGGGGAGCTTATAAGCAGAATAAAAAACCGTTTCGAAATACAGGTGTAAGCTACAGCAGTGTTGATAGAAATACGTTTTTCATATAGATTACTGGTTTTTAATTAAGCTTTAAAACACAATAAATCTAACTCATTTCATTTTAAACTAAAGGGACCATATATCCGGTGGGGCTATAATTGGAAGCAATATTTTGTGTAAAAACGTTTACAGTAGATGGGTCTATAAGCGGTATTTTTACCGTATGCAAGACGTTTTTCTATTTGTGAGCCCTTTGCAAAATTCGTACTTAAAGGTATGGCGAATTTTTTATTTCCACGTTTTCTTGACCATGATGAGTGCAACATGTGGGTTGAAGAAAAAGAAAGGAAATATTGGTCCATAACTAACTACAGACACATTTTACTTTGCATTATACTAACTACAGACACATATTTTACTTTGCATTATCTGTGAAGAAAAATATGCCTCTATACTGTCATGGCGTTTTAGTTTTCTTTAGTAAGTAAATATCTCATTGCTTGGCTTAATGCAAAGCAAATGACAGTCAAATACTACACGTTACTCAGTTTATATTGTACATAGAATTACTTTTATCATAGTATTGCAGATTTTGATGTCGTTAATACATTTGTACCTTACTCTTTTGGGGCGAGTTAGAGCCGATTTACACGGTACAACTTTGTCGCATGCGACAAGCTTACGACAGGTCTACGACAGGACTTAGGACCATTTACATGCGCTCGACATTTTCACTTACAAAATTAAATTTGCAAAAGTTTGCAACTGGATTTTCGGAGCGAAAGTTCTAACATACAGTAAAAAAATATTTTAGCTGTCCTGCGCTTTGAAAAAACTTTCTAAAGAGATATTTTTAGCTTTAATCTGTTCAGTGCTTTTCGAGAAACGTCTTCATGAGAATCGGTCAACAACAACTTCGTCCGCCATTTTGACGCGAGAAAACTTCACCTCGTCCCCTAATCAGTAGAAATTTGTCACAAAATACGTCATTTTCTATCGACACTGGTTACGATTGTCGCAGCGTTTTAAAACATGTTTTAAAATCCTGCGACAGTTTTTTTGACGTACACAACAGTCGTAAGCGAGTTGTAGGTTTGATTTACACGAAACAATTCATGTTGTAAGCCCGTCGTAAGCTTGTCGCATGCGACAATGTTGTGCCGTGTAAATCGACCCTTAGTCTCTTAAATGTCACCATGTGAAGTTCAGTTTTCTTTTCAATAAGTAAACAAAGGACAGGAAAGCAAAATAATTTATTTGTTATTATCTTTATGGTTGATGATCGGTTCAGTAACTACCCATATCTTAGCGTGTTGATATAGTGAAGAGCCTTGGTAAACAAGACGGAGAAAAGTAAACACCAGTGAAAAAATTGAATGCTGTTGTGTGATCTTGTCAGATTTGTCTTTCATTGTCCCAATTCTTTCTTCTTTTTTTACATCCATGCAAGAGTGGTGTCGATTCCTCGTCATAAAGCTTTTACGCCACGTAAGGTACCAGATGACATTTTAAACCGCGTGGAAAACTAGTCTGATTTTGAAAAATTGGCCCGTGTAAATTAGCATAGTCTCCAGGCCGTTTCAGCTTAAAACATCAAAAATGAATCGACGGAGACATGGGGTGCTTACCATTTGTCAGAATAAACCGGTTGGGATGACCGTTGTAGAATGGTAGGGGTTTTTCCAAAATTAGCAAACCAGCCGAACGAGATGGCGCTTACCATTTGCAATTCGATTTCTCGTAATTGTTTTCGGCTGATGAGAGACTGGAAACTGGAAAATAATAATAATAATAATAATAATAATAATGATAAT